TTTTTCACGCTGAACCATTCAAGAACACGCGATTGCGGGATAAAAATCAGGTTTCCAACTGTGAAAACGCAGGTTCGAGCTAAATACTTCTCAGTCAGAGTTGTATTTCCTCTCAACAAAATGTTTAAGGAGGATTTTTTGCGCTTTTCTCTGAAAGCCTTTAAAGTTTTAGCAAAAAAGTCGGTTACTGCAGAGGTTTCCTCTATTTCTCGTAAATAATTCTAGCGAATTCCGTTTTTACTTTTTACATCGTTTTGTTCAACCTCATTGTTGTTATATTACGCCTTTTCTTCTTTCTATTCAGGTATTATTCATTCAGGGAGTTGTTATGTTTGTGAGGTTCTCGTTTCTCGCAGTTTTGTTATACCCACGTGGACTTTATTCACGTCAATCGATAAAGATAGTGTTCGTAAAAAATAGGAAAGACCCATTGGAAGCTATAAAATTCTGAGTCTCAAGTGAAATTTGAAAGTTACGAGCCATCACCAGGATGGTCGGAGGTTTGCTAATCATTTGAAATGTGATTAGCATTTTGACATAGATCTGATTGAAAATTGTCATTTTTTACAAAATACCAAAGGAGTGAAAACATCTGAAGCCCTTTCGTCGGAGGCAAGTAGTAATCACACTGGCTTACCTGACTTCTACCATCAGTAATGACGATAGCAACTCGTGCCACACTATCCGACAACGGTCGGGCACCACGGCGTTCACTGAAAGCCTCCGTTGCTACGTGTTCGATAGCAGCACCAGTTCGTGTAAGACCGGTCAGGTATCTTAACAAGGACGTATTATAATGCATGTGAAGGTACTGATTAGTAAGAATAGTTTGAAATTATCGGTAGAGAACACAAATTACTTCAACTCGCTCACTGTTTCCTCTAATTATCAGGGTTAATTTTCTTTTGTAGTGATGAGATCTCTCACTACATTCTAGAATTACTGTACATGAACTGAATCTTAATTCAGTAGAAGCTCATAAGCAGTGAAGGTAGAGGCTATGCTGTATGTAGATTTTGAGGCATGTTTGATTCCCCTAATAGCCAAGGTATTTGTGTGTCTGGAAGTTTAAAAAAGTGGTTCTCTTCAAAAAGGAAGTAGAAGGAATTGAATTAATAGAGTAGTTTTTGATGGCTTGAAGTTGAAGAATGAAGCAGGTTTAAGTAATTAGGATGAGCCACTATAGTATGGCTACTGAAAAGGACAAGGCCAAATGTTATAAAAGAGGAAGGGAGATCATACGCTGATGAAGGTCTATTCACACTTCAATACACTTGATTTCCAGGTTTTGTCCGCCCTCTAGAAACAAGGTTCGCGAGCGTGTCATCTGAACCAATTTTCAATTTCCACATCGCTAGATGAACCCCGAATGAGGGTAAGCTGCAAGGTGTCCGATAAACTCACTCAATATTCTTGATTGCTTCGTGTAGGGATCGGCTGTCTTTATAGTCATCCAATCCAAATTCGTGTCTGAAATTATCAACTAATTAAAGGACTGAAATTATCCCAATTTCAGGAGCAACGATTGCGATGGTTGGAGTGTGTTCAGGAAATGTGATTGAAGAAGAAGTCTACTTGGTAGTCTCTGGGACAACTAATCACCAGGCAATATATTGTCTTCTTAGATACCCTAGATAGCATAACGCTAACAAAAATGAGGGTCAAACCATGGTATATCACTAGATTCCGCACGCCTCGCCTTCAAATTGACGTGTTGTCGGGGCAACAACCTCTTGCAGCTTATTACGACAGTCAACGGCGTAAGACAGGGACGTCAGTAAGAACACCAACAAAACAGGTCATGAGGG